GCAACTTGCCATCAATCCCGTATGTACGAAGGCATGTCCACAGACTGTTGCGTGGGATCCGGTCATAGGTCAACTATTTCACGGCACCTCCTTTCTAACACCTTTGCGTAGACTTTACCTGGGAGGCTTAGTAACGTTAAGCAATTAATTTTTAATGATTTTGTTTGAATAATTTTTTCAATGTTACCCAAAACATTTAGAAAACTTCACTTCAAAATAATTAAAATTTGTTGCTTAAATATGTACGATAGTCACCGAGGAACATACATTGACTTTTTTCCGCAATGTAGGGAAATACGCGAAATCAATGCTAATATCTCGAAGTTACGCGATAGGTGGGTTCGACGTTTCGGTTTCCGGCACAGAAGCTGCTATTGAAGAAATTTTCCACAGCACGTGTTTTTCACACCGTTGACGATGGCATCTGTACCGGAAGCTGAAAGTCGGAGTAGAGTAAAGGAACTCCCTGCTTAGAGTCCACAGCCGTAGGCAAGTAGAGACGTATGTTGATTATCGCGCTTACAGAAAGTGGTGGCGTCAAACTTTCCATCGCAAATTTCCAAGAAATATTTGTTCATTATATATAATTGTATGCAAGGATATAAATATACTTTAGAAATGAGATTTACACTCTAATATTAATTTGATGTCTGGTAAATTCTTATCCAGGTCGCACATATTCGACGCTTGGAAAACTCCATTCTTCAATCGTAGTACAGTAATACGCCGAAGTTACGCGATAGGTGGGACTAACAAAGCACTAGTTTAGAAGAAAAATATGCCATAAAATTGCAGTTCTTTATACATATTAATACAAATATTAAATAAAAATAAATGAAATTCGTAAGAATGCTATTTCGATGTCAATGGCTTTATAAAATTTAACAAATTCGTCTGACGACACGATGCCTTCTTTTTTCACGCAGAATTTCTTCGCAGCAAGGTAGAAATTTTTTAATTCCCTGCTTCGTAGCCATTACGCGTTCTTCGTTAGAGTCAGTTTTATAGACTTTTTAAACCGTTTTCAATTGAGCTGAGACCTTCTGTCAGGCTTGGAATTTTCACTGCTTTTTTGGTGGAACTGGGTCTTAAGTATCAGATACTTCAGTGACACGTTTTGCTCACGTATCTCTATGAACTCATCAATTGTAAGCTCCTTACTATGTGAATCCAACAGTTCGTTGATATCATCACCTTTGATTTCCAAATCTAATTGCCTGGCAAGATTAACAACTTCTATCACATGAGC